GCTGGTTGAGCAACAGAAGGCCATCAATGAGATGGCTTTGGTCAGGGAGATTGGGATCAGCGGCTCCCTTAACAAAATGGTGGGATACCATCTCCCAGATCTTGGTGGTCCTTAAGCTGTTCCTTGAGGCCACAGAGAGCCTCAGCACTGGTGATGCCTTCCTTAGCCAGGTGATCCCCATAGTGAGGGAGCTTCAGAACCAAATGGAGACATTCCAGGTAATCAATGTTCCTGGCTGGGGCAAGCCACTGTGACTAGAGGTGCAGGAACTGGTGAAGTGGCTAAAGGAGGGCATCAAGAAACAGCTGGATCTGTTGTGATCCAGTACGGTTCACGTGCTGGTGGCCATGTGCGACCTGAGGGTGAAGGGGAGCATGTGCAGCTGCAAAACCCTGGATCACTGGATGAAGGTGCTGATGAACAGAGTCATAGAAGCAGAAGGGCAGAGGTGGGGGGACGTGGAAGAGGGGGAAACACTGTCCCATTCCAGCACTCCATCCACCAGCCAGTCTCTTCCACAACAGGTGCCACCAGTGTGGGCCAATGGAATGGCTTCCATATTGGGGGTCCAGAGGCACCAGACCCCAGCATTGGGCAGGTAGCACCAAGGCTGTGGAGCCGCTGCTCTGCAACCCCTTGGCCTACTGGGCAAGCCACAGCCAGATGAAGCAGGATCTGGCAACAGTTGCCCAGGAACACCTGTTTTGTCCACTGACCAGTGTTCCAAGCAAGACAGTGTTCAGCATTGCTGGGGATGTTGATACCCCACCGTACCTCCTTGGATCCTGGTTTGGTGGAGCAGCTGGTGTTCCTCAAGGTGAATCTCCTGCTGCTGGGGTTCCCCAAGCTCCATGTGCAGACTGAGTGCCACTCTCCTTACTCCATCCACACCTATTTCTTTTTAACATTTTTTTAAATCATTTAATGCCCTGCTCTGGAGCTGGAGGTGGCACTCACTGTATCACCAGCCAGCAGGGGAAGAACATCTTCCTGCTGAGCTCCTGTGCCAGGATGAACTTGGAGGTATGAGCTGGGGCTATGGGGAAGGAGGCCCCAGGTCCTGGGCATGACCTAAAATTGCATCCTGCCAGGGTTGAGAGGCCTGGTGGGACTGCCGGTGGTGTGGCAGCCCCCCAAAATGCCAGGACTGCAAACCTCCCTGCTGAAAGGCAGGTAGAAGGCACCTTATAACCTCCAGTAACCACATGCATGCATAGTCCTGGCTAGAGAAAGCTCAGACCTGTAAGATCTTTGAGAGGCCTGAGGCTTGCTGGCTGCAGTGGAGCTGTGAGGCTCCAGGTGAGCTTAGCTGCCTGGGATACCACCTGTGAGGCATGGGCTGCAGTGTTAGGGGAGGTACAGAACTGTGGAATGGATGTCAGCCCTAGACATCAGGGGCATAAATGGGCAGCCTCCTGCCTGGGTAACATTTGAATCAGTTGATGAAGTGAAGTTCATAGGCTCATCTGTGAAAAGTGGTTTGTAAATTCCCTTTGAGGATCAGGCCTGAGAGATTGAAGAGAATGGCTTTCTTGTGAGAAATATGCCCCCACAGGTAGTTGGGTATTCTTGTCTGTAATAGATTTCCAATGTGCATTCATTCTACTGCACAGTTGTTGCTTGGTATCTCCTACGTATTTTCCATCAGGGCATTTGGTGCACTGGATAAGATATATAACATTTCTGGAGGTGCAGCTGTAAGATCCAGAAGTGGTGATAGTTCTGTTGTGGGGTACAGTAATTGTGAGGGTACTGGAGATATGTTGGCAGGTTTTGTATTTCTTGTCATGGCATGGTCTGGATCCATTCAGTGTGTTTGGGGCTGTAGGAAGTTTGCTTCTGGTGATGAGGTTAGTGAGATTCAGTGGTTGTTTGAATTTACAAACCACTTTTCACAGATTAGCCTATGAACTTTGCTTCATCAACCTTCTGGATACAAAAACTCGTGGGCTCAATATAGACATTGGATTTATGACACCCTATAACCTGCCTGATATCTGACTCCCCAGGTACCTCTCCACTTTTACCTGCTACATCCCCCTCCCCCCCAGCCTGTCCCTCATTTCCTGACACCTCAATTTACATTTTCACTGACTGGCTTTCCTGCCTGCATTGCATATCAGCCTCTGGCTTCTTCACTATTCATTCCATCCAGGAAGAGCACACACATACCAACTGCAGATGCTTTCTCAGTCTGATGAAGGGTTTTTAAATCCGAAAGCTTGATAAGATACATTTCTCCAACTATTCAGTTGGTCTAATAAAAGATATCAGAGGTACCCTCAACTGGTCCATGCTGGGGCCAGGACCCAAAGGGGGGTCAAAGGGCCAGGGGCCTGCCATGAGGAATGCCCAGAGCAAGAGGCTGAAGATTCCGACTGGCCTGAAGACAGGGCCAGGGCCTAAGGGGGAGCCAAAGGTCCCAGAGAGGGGACCCACAGCTGGAGGGGGTGAAGGATGCAATATGTGAAGCATGGGCTGCAGTGTAGGGGAAATACAGAGCTGCAGAATGGATGTCATCTCAAGATGCCTAAATGGGCAGCCTCCTGCCAGGGAAACATCTTATTCGGTTTGCCATCAAGGTGTGGCAGACAAAAGAGGGGCAGGCGGTTGGCCCAGAAACAGGTGGGCAGCTGGAGATCTAACTGGCACTGGGAAGGTCCCCTGTTACTGGCTACCATCCCTGCTGTTTTCATCTCACTGAGCCTTAACACACACACACAGTCACACGTCACGAGTTTTGCTTTTCAACAGCTTGAGGTGCAGTTTCACAGAAACCTTTGCCACCTATCTCCTTGAAACCTGGCAGGCTTCATGACCTCAGAAGGGGCTACCATCCCTGCTGTTTTCATCCTGCTTTTTCGTAACACACACACGACACAAGTTTTGCTTTGAAGAGTTTGAGGTTCAGTTTCACAAAATCCCTGCACCTATCTCCTTGAAACTTGGTGCAGGCTTCATACCCTCAGAAGGGGCTACTACTCCTGGAATTTTCATGCAAATCAGGCAAGAAATGATGACGTTATAGATATTTTAGTGATTCCCCTTTATAGCCTGTGGCCAAATCACCAAAACAATGCCAAAACTCCGAAACAGATTTGGCCGAATTGAAATGGAATAGTGATCTGAAACATTGAAACAAATCACTGTCCTCTGAAACAGCCAAATCCATAACCAAAATGAAACAGCCATTTTGCAAAGCCCTAAATATTATTATATTTTTCTAGTAGATGGTGAGAGAGCAGGTAATGGAAGCCTTTTTGTCTTTATCAGATGGCTACCTGGGGATGAATGTAAGCAGTCAAACCTATTCCAGAATAATTTATGCCTCTGGTGTTTTACCCCCAGTTTTTCAGTCTAAGTAAGATTATCCTGGTTTAGAGACTGTGTTATGTCTCCTCCTTCCTTATGCTAGCATAAGTGTGTTATCAGAGGCTCAGATATATACCTCCTTTTTGTGAAAAAAGTCATTCCTTGACTGAACAGTTATTTTGATCAGTAAGCATATTTAAAACAGAGCTAAGTTTAGATTCACATTAAAAAACATTTCACATACTGTATTGGTAAGTCTTTGTCTAACAGGTTAGTTTGATTTTCCTATATGCCTAGAAAATCGGCAACAGAAGCTATGAAAGCGAGCTTCCTTGAATTGAAATGAAACATTGTATTATAGTTAAATAACTGGACTAGGTCTCAGTAAACCTGGGTTTTATTCCCGCTGCTACAGACTTTCTGTATAACCATAGGCAAGTCACCTACAGTCTCCATTTTATTGACAGGGATAAATCGCTCTCTCTCTCTGATAAATCATCCCTTTTCTTTTAACTGTCTCTGATTTTATGGGCATAGTGTTTAATACAAAGTTTATCCTATTTCTCTTTGCAGGCCAGGTTCTTTGGTTAGATGTGATATATTTTATTAGACCAACTGAGTAGTTGAAAAAAAGTTCTTAGCAAGCTTTCAGGTGTAGTCACCCTTTGTTAAGCAGAGGGAGTCTGCTGGTCTGAGACTCCAAGGAACAAGAGAAGCTAAAAGTGTGGTAGGAGGTCAGTGAAAATGTAAATAGGTAGAGATAAGCAAGACAAAGTTAAAGCAGGGGAGGGGAGGGGGAAGAGAGCAGGAGGAAAGAAAAAAAACCCAAAGGCCAAAGGGAGACAACGGTGATAAAAACAGTGATAAATCCTATTTTTCTCATAACCTGTAGGAGCTACTATACTATAGCTAACCAAAATGAACAGTAATTAGATATTATATGTTTGAGTGATATGAGAATTCTGCTCATCCAAAACTTTTCATACTCCTGAGCAGCTAATAGGAATTTTTTGACAGTATTTTAAAAATATTTATTGTGTGTGACCTAAATAATAAGCAGACACGGGGTGCATTTACATGTGCATTTTAATATGCAGCAGCCTATTTTGCTGCACATTAAAGTGTCAAGTAACAAAATGTGCAATTACACTAATGCACAGTTAATTAGGCTACTTCACATTAAGCATCACTAAAAAAGGTGTACTTTTGGTAATACACATTTATTTAGTATCTCACATTGGAGGTACTAAATTTAATGAGCATTACTGCATGTGTAGATGCACCCAGGCTACAGCATTTTTAGAGTAGCTCCAAGAACTGCTCTAATTAAGGCGCTGCAGAGTCTTGTGTATCAGTGTCCCCACACTTCAAAATGGCGGTGGGGGTGATTTAACTAAAGCTTCAATGAGCTGATACATGAGACATGGAGGCTGGTTGGGGTACGCTAATTAACACACTCCAGCAACTCAATTAATTGCCATAATTACAGCGTGTCAGAGCAGCTTCCTGCCATGTCTACAGGCACCCCCTGGGTGGGAATGGAAACATTTACAGAGGTTAGTTTAGGCTTGTATTTTCTCTAACCTATGATGCCTTAATTAAAGTATATTTTGGTCTAGAACCGCACTAAAAAGTGTGATAGTTTTTAGTATCCAATTTCTTCCATTTTATTTTTATTTATTAATTACCTTCTTGCAGGAGTAGCAATGGTGAGCAAACTGCTTCTCAAAACATGGCACACAATAATTCTCATTGTCCTGTGTAATCAAAGGCTTTGTTCCTAACGGTTGCCGGCAGTATTGGCAAACAAAACAGGTTTCATGCCAGGAACTTCCTTTAAATTCCATTTTACGAGAACCTGAAAAGAAAACCAAGTAAGCAAAAAAACCACCAGAGTGTAGTACATATAAGTTAGGAAGTCTTATTTCTTTTCTTACTCATCATTCAGTGTTTGAAACTCCACCAAGAAAGTGTTTGGGCCCTGATCGAATACCTAACCCATTATGGGTGTCTATACACATGCTTCAGGGTGGAAGCACATTAATTAGAGTGGCTCTAATTAAAGTGCCTGCAGCATCACGTGTATTTAGCATCTCACACTTAAAAATGGTGGTGGGGGCACTTTAACGAGAATCCATTTTCTTACACATTTCCTTCACCTTTCCTGAATTGGGTCAAACACCTTTGTTAATGAATGTGGGTCCTTACAAAAGTCATTTAATTCATGGCCAATATTTGTTTCTATTAATTTTTCATTTCTTTATCAGAGTGCAAAACACTTACTGTAGTTGATCATTTCCAACCCCTTTCAGATAACCACAGTTCTTAGTTATGTTTTGATGTATGATAAATGTAGAGGCAATCCTGAAAGAAAGATGCCTAACTAAATGTTTACCAAAAAGTTTGTTTTGTACTTTATTTGTTGGGGCAGACTCCCCCCGCTCCTGCAAAGTCCTTGCATTAACTCCAGTGGTTAGTGTTGCATACGTACTACCCCTATGATTATGACTTCTATAGTTACAAGTCTAGTAGTATTAGCTGCGTTAGTCTTAAGTCAAGGAAAAGGCAGGTTAGATTTGTACCTTATAGACTAACTAATGTAGATATATATACATAGCTCAAAAATTTGTGAGCTGTAGCATACTTCATCGGATGCTGTGAAAAGACATGCAGAAAGTAGAGTATAAGGAGAGAGAAATGTATAGTCACAAACCACTATAAGGATTCATTCAGTGACTTTACACTAAAGCTTCTTTCTCTTCTGCTTGTATCTTATTGGAGAATGGGGAGGCAGGCAGTTCTAACTTTTTCTCACAGAACACTTTGAAGGGGAAGAAGAGGAGGAGAACTCTTAACAGCTGGTGATTCCTCTCCTCCATTCAGGGAGTGCCTACATCCCAGATGGGAGAACAGTTGTAGAGATGGTTAGAGTTTTCTGCAAGCACTCAGTGGCTCTGCTGTTTCCAGTTCTAGGAAGTTGCAGAACTAGGCCTGGTATCCCTTCATGGTACATCCAATAAAGATACCTTAAGAGAACTAACCTTTTGCTGCTATCCTTGCCTGTTGGGGCTTATCAACCTGAAGTTAGTGATTAGAAGCTTAGAAGATGCAAGTACGAAGTAGAAATAAAGAAGCTTCACTCTGTGGGGCTGCCAATGTATTTTACTAATTTATTTTCTCTACTATTTCCACACTGAGTAGAGAATTCTAGAAATTCTGTCATTTCTTTTTACCAATTTTAAGGCAACTTGTAATGTGTGAATGTGTGGGAACTCTAAAGGAGGCAGTATAATAATGCTAAACCCTGATGTCACCATTTGCACTTATAGTAAGGGATTATCAACACACTACTACTTTTCCTATAACAGTATAGTTCAGGGCTTTCCAACTTCTAAGCAGCTGGGGGCCACACATCCCAGGAGTCATACCAGTAGGGCCCACACACCCCGTGGGCTGTACACCCTATAGATGCCTTTCCTATCTGCTACACCAGGTGCCAGCAACATCCTGCACTGCATGCCCATTAGTCCCCCTCACTGATACACCTGCGACCCTCCCTCCACTGCTGTACTGAGTGCCTGAGATCCTTTCCACTACTGGTGCACTATGTGCCTGTGACCTACCAGTTGGAACAGCAGTTGAAACACCCTGATGTAGTTAAAATAGTATAACAGGGCGAATACAATTATACTGGTATAAAATATGCTTTGAAATGATATAGATTATAGATTATCCCTCTGCCTGCAAAGGGAAATAAACTGTATAACCATATAGCTCCATTCACACTAGGCAGTGTATGTGTTTAAATAGTCCAACATTAAAATAATACTCCTAACCAAAATAGCTTATATCAGAAAAAAACTCATATGTAGACCAGACCTATGTATTTTGGAATCAATATCTCATTAGCTAGAATGCTAATTAGATTAGATAGCCATTAGATTATCTTTCTTATATCTGTTTTAAAACTTCATCTGATGCTTCAAAGGGACATGCAGAGAGCAGGCTATCAAATAGAGTGATTTGAATACAAAAGACAGGGAAGGGAGGGAGGTGGGGAAAATGGGAGCAAACAAGTAATAAATCCATAGGGACATAGGGGTCTAAAAAGCTAATCCAAGTAATGGGATAAGAATCCATAGTCCCTGCTTGACTATATTTAACATAATCTGGCCTGTGAGCGATTTGTTCTAGTTTCATGTTCAAGTTGACTTTTAAAATCCTGTTGTTTAAGAACAGCTACTCTGAGGTTAGTGATGGGCTGTCCCAGAAGTTTTAAAATGTTCTGCCAGAGGCTTCTGTGTGTTTTTGGATTTGATACATATCAGTATCCCCCTCATTCTTTCAAATAGGGATTGCTCAATCTGTCCAATGTAGACAGCAGAAGGGTACTGGAAGCAGGTGATGGAGTCTATGACATTGGTATAGGAGTTGGTGAATGACCTTCAGAAGTTATAATCCATGTTGTTTGATGCAGTGATGATGTGGGCTGTACTGATGAGGGGACACAGCTTGTATCAAGGTCCTGTTGCAAGGCCTGGTGCCCTCAGTGAGAATAAGAGTTTGGTAGTCTGTTGCTTGAGAGTTGGCATTTGAGGTTGAGGGGCTGTCTGTAAGGGACAGGTTTAAAGATGATTTGAACATGTTACTGCTCATACTAATGCTTCCACAGGAGCTTGTATAATGGTAGATTTCTTGAGAACTGGCCTTGCTTATGCGAGCAATGCATCTGCATATGTCTGCATTTTGTTTTATTCTTTGTGATATTCTGTGTGTGTAATGCCATGAAGACACAATGTTAAACAGCAGGTGAGAGAGGATGAGAGGAAGGCGGGTACACTCAGGGGAAGATTATATAGTATACCTGAATGCTGTACTAGAAAGCAAGAAATTATACTTAATTTATACCTTGACTACTGAAGTGCTTGCATTTCATTAAAAATGCAATACGACTGTTTCATTTATTTAGTGAAGTGTCCTTGTTATCTTACCAGGCATAATGGTCTTCTTACAGTGGAAACACTTAGATGAATACATATTAGAATAACACTCAGTACACAGCAAGAGCTCGTCCTTGGCAGCGAAAGGCTTTTCCACCAAAGAGTGATTGCATTTGGCACACTTGAAACACGCTTCATGCCAGTGGCGGCCTTTATAGGCAAGGTCCTTAAAGAGAGTAAGTGCTTGTTAATGAAATGCATTGTTTAAAATGGCATTTCTCAACCCGGGGGTTGTGACCCAAAGGCAGGTCACAACAATATATGAAAGGGTCGAGAGTAAACTTTAAAAATGGATCAACAAACTTTAAAAATGGATTCTCCTTTAAATAAGAAAAATGTGGGGAACCATGGCTTTTCCCTTGCAGGCAGGCAGAGTTCTAGCCTTCAAGGGACTGCTTGGAGGCCCCCTGCCACACACACTGGGAGGCTGGGGCCGGGGGGGCAGCAGCCCCTTTATTTCAGCCCTACTATGGGGGCAAGGGTGGCACAGGTGCCAAGGCACACAGTTGACAGCTCAGAGGTCTCAAGTTTGAGGCTGTAGCAGAAGTGCTCAAGGCGCAGCCTGTCAGATTCCAATGAATCTGCAAATTCTACTAAATGCCTTGTCACAAGGACATGAGAAAGGCCTGCTATATTTTCCTGCCTGGTTTCTGTTAGCTCTCTGTCCTGGGAAGCAACAATAGTTTGGTTCTCATCCTGACCCACACTTACTAGGGGGAGCATTAACTAGTAGGAAGATACTGCTACATGCTTTGTTTAAAAATTTAATAATTTTGAGGTGAGAGGGGCAGGCCTCATGACACAGGCTCTCTGTGTTGATGGTTTGGCCACATATAAAAGTTTGCTTTGAAAATGCTGGCCATACAATTTTGGGACAGTCTGTAATACATATGCACTCCACTCCCCTCCCCTCTCCCAGTACTTTTCATATCTCCCTGGACTATGCAGATAGTATCCTCTTTTGCCTACAGGAGGTATGTGAAATGGAGGGAAACACCTGGAAGATTTATGCCTTTTTTACTCCAGTAGAGCCAGCACAAAGGGGCCATAGGAGACAGGTGAAAAAAATCACTCACTTCCCAGCAAAGGGGCTATGGTACAGGTAAGCCCACACACATTTCTGGCTGTGTGTTAAAAACAAATAAAAGGTAAGTGTTTTGAGAGTTCATTTGACTCTAAAACTTGAAATGAAATGTAGGGTTTGTGAGTTGAAACCAAATTAGAAAAACTGACCAAACCCACTAAGCATCTCCTAACTCTAATGAAATTTCCCAAAGGGGTAGATGGATGGAAGGCAAAGTCCAGAAAGTTGAACTATGCTTGGTTTGGCTGTGCCTGTCACTGAGATTTCATTTATGAAACAAGCCAGGCACTGTGAGATGAGAATTAAGCTTCCATATTTCAACTAAAATATTTTAATCAAAATATGCCCTCTCAAGGCATTTTGTTTACAAAGAAAGACTGTAACAAAAATGATAAATACTGTTTTCTTCCAGCTGAATGCCTGCGTGTTAACTCAGAATTTGCAGTTGGAGTGATTTATATATGGTGTGAAGTCATTCTTCACTGGACATCTCTCAGAAGCATTTACTTCTAAAGTTTCCTGAGGTCTTACCAATTAAATTACTGGCAAGATAGAGTAAGAAGAGTATGGAACTACTGAGTGTACTAGATGAAGGGTGAAGTTGAAACAAGGTAAGGTAACTTTCTACAATAACCAAAGCTTTCTATTATAACCAGAACCGTACATATAACAAACCAAAACATATTCCCACACTAAATAGAGCTTTTAATATCCCCCAAAGGGAAGAATGGTCAGTGTGTTTTCTGGATGGGTGCCATCCACAAGTTTTTTTACAGACTTCTTCATAGTCTTTATATAGGAAACTAAATGATGGTGAGAAATGGAACCCTCCTACCTAGTCGTGGACTACTCCTACTCTACAGTTTCCACACGGTGCTTCTCCCTTAGTGATCCACCTGAGTGTAAATCCTCTGAACCCTGCACATGTTTCTGGATCAATCTATTGCTATTAAGTACAGAGCTTCTCTCTCCCACATTCGGGGATATAGAGACTGTCTCTACTATGCATAACTTCTCTTGCTGTGATCTCCATACCCATGGAGGGATACAGCATACTTGTGTAATAGGGAGGAATTTGTGAGGAGCTCCCCATCTAAGATAGGGAATTCATTCTGTGACTCAACACTAAAGAAGGATAGGACCAAACAAAATGTTTACCTTGGAATCACATTTAATAGGCATCTTGCACTCTTCGCAGGAGTTGGCGAAAAGGCTGTCGTAACATGTAACACAGTAAGCATTCTCTTCTTTCAGCGCAAACTTCCTTCCTCGAAGGGATTCCATGCAGTATTGACAGCCTGTGTCTTTACTTGTCATTTTTGGCTGCTACTGTTCAGGGAGAATGGAACATTTATTGATTTAATGTATGAAACGTTATGGTCCATGTAAAGTCATTCAGAGGAGAGTCAGGCATTATTGGTGCAAGTTAGAAGAGGAATTCTGTTGGTTACTTACAGCACCCTGGGTTTTCAAATCTGGAATCATTCAGTGACAAAACGGCAGTCTTTGCTGGCTACGTAAAACAGAACAAGAATATTATCTCAGTTTAGTCTGTTTATATATTTGTACCAATAATCCTGACATTTACATTCTTTGCTGTTGATATATAAACATCTTGGATAAGAAGAGTAGAAAGAAAATCTATGGGAATGAAAAGGGGCTTTTGGGATGTTGAGTAGACCATCATTTGTGCAACCATTTATCCAGTGATCTAAAAACTGCCCACTCCAGCCCCTTACACCCACCACAGTAACAAAGCAGGTTATGAAAACAAGCACCCAGACACCCTACAGAGTGCCACAGGGGGAAAAAAAAGCAAGGATAAGGGTGCACCTACTAGCCTGCCTCTATAGTGGAAGAGAAGCTATTACATGAATATGTACCTTGCATTACAGAGGGGGACAAAAACCCCTGCAGTCCTTGCCAATTTGACCTGGGGAAAAATTCCTTCCTGACCCCAGATCTGGCTATTGGTTTGACCCTGAATGGAACAGCAGGATTGTCCAGCCAGATACCTGATATGCTTTCAAATACTGGCAGAAGCACCCAAGTCAAAACTCCCACTCCAGCTGTGGCCAATGTCCACATGTTTAGAGAAAGGAAAACACCTTCCCCTGTGCCAAAGCCAATAAAGCATCCAGGACTGAACAAATTTCTTCTTGGAACATGCAGGTAACAGTAGAAGCCTGGGATTACCAGACACCTCCAGATAGGTATGTTTCTTCTTAACACGATAGGATATACTATACTTGAATCCACACAATGTATGGACTATATATGGATTATTGACCCAAAATCACCCATCCCATCATATTACCTTTGCATAAACCCCCAAGCAACTCAGATTTGCCACTATTTTGTTTGGAAGATCATTCCAAAACTGCACTCCTCTGCTTGTTAGAAACTTGCTTCTAAATTCTAGTTTAAATTTGTTCATAGCTAGGTTTTCAATGTTTGATCTTGGGTTGATACTGTTTAGCTTAAAAAGCCCTTCTCGCTCCCTGGTATTTGCTCTGCAGACATAATTATAAGATGCATGAGAATTAGAAGTAATTTTATCCCCTCTAAAACCATTTAAATTCCTTACTTCATTCTACTTCATTCCCCCATACAGAATTATTGTTGCAGAAAATTAATAAACTTTAGGGTTTCCTCTGTGTTGTTAGAGTTCTAAAAGATAACCAGGAGAGACAGAACTGTGGAACATAATCCTGTAAACTCTGCATTTTGACCATAATTTGGGATGTCAGAAATAAGTGAGGATGGAGGAGAATATAGGTGAAACAATGTGCCATAGAGAAACTAAACCTATTTGTGACATCCTTACATGCCATCATGATCCATAAGGTCAGACAAGAGCAATGCCCTATAAGTACCATTACGAAACCAGGTCTGGTTGGTGAAAACATGCTGAAGTTAATCTCTGCAGTCACTCCTCAGCTCTGGAACTCCCTCCCTCTTAAAGCTTGCCACAGCCAAAGCCCAAAAATCTGTCAGAAGCACTATAAGACCTTTGCATATGGGCAAGCATGCACCAAACAAAACTAAGATGGCATGTTTAGGAGATTTTCTAGTACCTTGTTAAGTTGTTTTGGTTCTCTTGTTGCTCTCCTGTTTTTAAGTTATTCGGTTTTTGTACTGTAAGCTGCCCTGTACCTTGTTGGGAAGCATGGCTTATTAATCAAATGAATAAATAAATACATAAAATGAATCCTCCTACTCTTCCCTGAAATATACCAGGTACAATGTTTTGTACTGGATTCTAGGGAATGGATATTCAGAACATGAGGCACTGTGGATGAAAGATATTTCTCAGAATAAAAGTGACTGATTGAACAGCTGATAAACCAAGGTTGCAAAGTCTTGGTGTAGGGCAGAGGTCACCAACCAGTGGATCTTGATCCACCAGTAGATCTCAGAGCCTCTTGAAGTAGATCCAAGGTTGGGGTGGGGGGCTGAGTGTTTGCATGCCTGCACATGCACCCCCCAGCCCGGCAGATCAGTCCGTGGGGGAGGGAAAGGGCGGGGGCTTGATCGAGGCCACTGAGGTGAGGGACAGTGCTGCAGAGGCAGGAGCAGGAATAAGTTGAGTGGGGCCCTGGCTGGGTGGGACTTACCTGCTAGGGTGGTGTGTGCCCAAATAATTTTCTCTCTCTCTGCCTCAATCTGCCCCCTTCCTTCCCTCCCCACAAACTTACCTGCTAGGCTGGGGGATGGGGAGGGGAGGGGAAGGGCAGGGGTGGTGGCAATGCACGGTGGATCTCAGGTTGCTTTTAAAATTCCAAAGATGATCTGCTACTTGAAAAGGTTGGAGGCCACTGGTGTAGGGTGATTTAAACTTTTCCTGCTTAACAGTTTCCCAGATGGTCTTTTGCAGTCTCTCTCTTTCTCCCTCTCTCTTTCAGATCCTCATCCTGGAAAACCTGAAGTCCATCTTAAACAAATATAAAATGGACAAGGAAATCTAAGTTAGCTGGCCTGATTTGCTAAGACCATTTAAATCTAAGTTAGCTAAATATAACTTTGCTAAATCTAAGTTAGCTGACTCAAAATCAAATTTCTCTTTTGCTGTTGTTGGAAAAAAATTAGTCCTTTGCTTTTCTCTCATCCTTCTGTATTGCCATATTTCATCTAGGACATGACTTGGCAGTACCAGAATACTGTGAGAAAATTGGTAGTTCCATGCCAGCCAGTTGCAGGAAATGCCATAAATCTACTGCTAGCCCAGTCTCATGAGTTTTTCTTCCTTCATTTTTACAGGTCAAAGAGGTCTGGATAAGCATCCAAACATTGGGCGCCTGTAAATCCTTGGAACTGTGAACCTTATGAGCCTTGTGGGGATGGAGACTTATTTAAATCTTGTTATTGAGAGTTGAATCAACAGCACTTGGCTAAAATTGGGATTTCGTTCCTGGGAATGAGGAAAACAGAATCCAAAATATTCCCAGTGAAACAAAATTAGAAACATCTGCTGCACCCATTAAAATCCATAGTTTATTAACTCATCAGTGAGTGTCAATCTGCAGTTAGTGCCAACAATCATGAAAAGTTAGAGGATATAAAAAGAACTAATAAAGATTCTTAAAATATTTTTGTATTAGCTGACCAAAGTCACTTGAAGTTTTCCATATACTGCTAAACTATGTAGTAAATTACAGCTGATATAAACCATATGTAAAGGGTGAAAAATAAGAAAGTGTGAAATTACATGTTATATTTAAATGGGTGATTCTCAACCAGGGTGCCATGGGGTACCATGCAAAGTGTTAGACTCAAAGCTCCCCTTGATAAATTGAAGGCACCCCTCACTAGGGCCAAGGCACCCTTCACAAATGTCAAAAACGCATTCAAACCATTCTGACCTGCTGTTGTCTTTCTGAGTTCATTGCTGCAGAAGAATTGCTCTGTTATGCTAAAAACAGACAACCAGCTTGGTTCAAATTACAGTGTTTTATCTTGTGGCAAACCCAGACTTTACAGATGAAGAACATTAAATACCCGTGAATTCTACAAATTAACACTTTGTTTTGCAAAAATTGTAGCTATTTGGGGTTAATTGACATTTAAAGCCTTGTGTGCAAACAATCCATGTGTGTCATATCCCAGACCAATCAGTGTCATATTAAACCAATTGACTGTTCTTAGCCTTATTTTTCTGTAGTCAAAAGTAAAGTGAAAACTAAGATCTAACATTTTCTGAGGGGTGCTTTGATTCTAGTGAGGGGTGCTTTTGGTTTATTAAGAAGAGCTTTGAGAATAAAAAGGTTGAGTACCACTGCTCTAGTATTTTTCAGTAATAAAACAGAGTGAAATCTAAGAGCTGACATTTTCTGAGGGGTGGCTTGAGGCTAAAAAAGGTTGAGAGCTGACTTAGATCATACTAAAGCTGTGGAATGTTAAGCGATGTTGAAGACCGAATGTGCTGTGAGCAGTTGCATGTTAAGGCCATTTCTTGCCTGCACAATTCTGACTTGCATCTAGGGGGCTGGCAAGCAGGGGCATGGCTAGGACCCAGGACACCTGGGTTCTGTCTCTGTTCTTGGGAGGGTAGGAGGAGAACTGGCAGTGGTGCATCCTGCGTTGCTGGAGGACTGCAGATTGCTCATTTTATCTCCGTGGAGCAGACTGAAGTTAGCTAACATAAGTTAGGTAGCACAGCCCAGGTATTCCTTGCCTGAAGTGGTGTAACTTTGAGTGAGATGCTCAGAGGGCACTAAGCCTGAGTTTTAATGAGCTTTAATGTGTGGATGTTTACATTTTAAGTGCCCTTAGGATGGTCCAAGTGTAACATTTAACTTTATCCAAAGCCTAATAAGAAGTAGGAAGGAGTTAATTTTAAAACAGCATCTGTTCTGTTTAGGGTATTCAACTATTTTCTCATGTGTCCATTGTCCAGCTCATACCCATACCACATCTTTAAAAGATTCCTTTTTTCTTCCTATATTGAGGACTGTCAGATATCCAAAGGAAAATTTAAGCTATAAAAAAAGTGTAGCTGATGAAGCCAATTAACAGTAAATTCAAGCTAAGGACACAATGTTTTTATTCTGTTCCCTAGGGGACTGTGGCATGATTGTAAAGTAAGGGCAAGGGAGGAATACAAAAAGCTTGTCTTAGATAAAAAATAAAGACTTCTTCATTTGGCACAAGCTGTGGAAAACTTTGAAGACCCTGCACATAAAAAAACCCTTGAGTTGAAGTGATTTATTATTTTTCTAACTGTTCTAAATCTTTGTGCCATCAGGAGATTGTCTAGCAAAAAGTCAAATAGTCTGTAACTGAAATCAATAAGAATTGTGATCAGTTAAAAAAATATTGTAAGTTATTTTATGTCCTATTTTATACCAGTTAGTGTTATAATAGGAATTTGGTTACTGACTTCAATTTTTTCGGGATCCAGACAATGACTTTGTACCTGCATTCTTCCCAGGTATGCAGCTTGCCATCTTTTAGTGGTTAGGATAATCATCTTGTTTTGCATGTACACGAGCAATGCCATATCCAACATAAATTAAGGAATGGTAATAATTCTGAAGAGAGTGGATTAGTATTATAAACCACCCTCCCTGGGCTTACCATAAGATAAGCAATGCATTTGAATCAAATAACGCAAAAATAATCTCTTCCACCAAGCCACAAATATATTGTCTCCTTTACCACTAATTTGATAGAAATATATGGAATAATAGATGAGTATTATATCTATTATATCAGCAAAAATATTTTATCATTATCATTTAGATATAAATTAGCATAGATTTATTGGAACTGTCTCCAAGTGTCATTAGTAAGACTTCCCCTTACTGGAATATTGATAGTGCATACAGTTCTGGTCTACTTTCAATTCTGGTCAACCATTTACTTTCATGTTAAAAAAACGAATTTATACTGAAACAGGTACAAAGGCAACTAGGATGGTTAGGGCATTTGAAAAGCTATATTATGGGAGGAGATTAATAAATTAGACTGGTTTAGTTTAGCAAATAAAGGTTGACAAGGGAACAGATTACTCTTGATGAATATATTTGCAGAGTGAATATCAGAAGGAAGAACTATTTAAGTTAAATAGTATCAGAATTAAATCAAATAGCTACAAAACGGTCACAGACAAATTTAGATAAGAAATTAGAAGACAGCTTCTAACCATCAAAAGAACGAAGCTCTGGAATGCTCTTCCAAAAGGAAAAGTTGGGGACAGAAATCTGAATTGTTTCAAGATAGAACTTGACAAATTTATGGAAGGGACAATATAATAAGATAAATGTGCTCTGGGAGCGATACAGATGTGGTGCTGTATCTATAAGCATCAATTTGTCAGGTTATCAAAAAAAAAAAGAAGAAAAAAGTTAGGGCATCCATGGATGGGCTACTAATGCTTGCAGGCAAAAAAATTTAGTTTTAGTCAAGCACACAAATGCAAGAATTCATGTCCATGCATTCAAAAAATGGCAATAAGCTGTTTTGTTGTCAGAAAAAAAAATTCCAGCTCCCCACCCCCATTGTTTTCTTTCAGTAGTTGTCACCGGAGGTATATCCAAGGAGGGGCAGGCAGGCATGATAATGCCATTGAACTCCCACTTTTAAGTTCTACTCAAAATTTAAAACAAACCAACTGACACAGACACTTACATTTCTATAGTTGGGGGCAGGGGGGCAAGTGACTTCAGGGTTCATATTGTCTACCTGATTCCTGTTAATCTCTTCACTCCATAGGTGTTAACACTCCTTTCCCTTTCACAAATCAAGCTTCCCTTTCCTCTATAATTATCCTGTCTTATTTACTCCTAGTAATGTTTCTCTGCTCACCCCCAGCATGTCTAATAAGGGTGTGCTGCTACCTAGGGACCTGCGCTGGGTGGCTTTGTTCCTAGGGAAACTTAACCCATAGCAAATCTGAGACATGTTGGGAATGGGCAGGTATAGCTATGAAGACAAGTATAGCTATGTGGTGGTGCAGCAGTCAGAGGCAAGAGGGTGTTGCAAAGGTGAGATGAGGAGGCAAGTTATAGCAGTAACTTCTTCTGGATTATTCATTGCATCAGATGACAGAGGCCATGGGAGGCTGGCCAGTGGTGCAATGAGGGCAGCATAAAGCCGGGCATAGGCAGATCCAGAAGGGTTGGTCTCACCAGACAGGCGTGGTATAAGTGGCTGAAGCGAGTCCTTCTGACTCCAACTATTTTTCTATGTTGAGGATGAAAACCACTGGTAGATAAGCTGTGCAGGAAGGAGGGGAAATTACAGGTCTGCATCCACCTGCCCTGTGGTTGGGAGCCATGAGTGTTGGCCCAACTGCTTAGAAGAGGTTCTGAGGGGAAGAAGCTCCCAGGGGCTGGACTTGGAGGGGGGGTCTGAGGAACCAAGGGGCTTTTGGGGTGACAGGGGCCAGTGGGATATAGCAATGTGGGGTGAGGAGGTGCATGTGCATATATGGGAGTGGGGTAGGTGAGGATACAATGGGGTTTGTGGCTGAAGGGGGCCATGGGGGTGAATGGGGTGTGATAGGATTTGTGGGCAAGAAGGGTTGTGAGTGAGGGGGGAGCCAAGGGGTATGAAACACTGCTGTGAGGTTTGGGTGCTCAGATGGAGGGGAGGGCTCATTTGGGCATGAGGGAGATAGGGGCCAGGGGGGCTGGGTTATGAGGGGGATGAATATTTGCAGGGTACAGTGGTTTCATGGGGGCAGGGTAGGACTCAGTTGGGCTAAGCATGAGGGATATGAGGCATAACAGGGGATGGAGTAGAGCCAGGAGGCATTTGGGGTGGCATAGGCAGTGCATAAAAGACAGTGAGGGGCACTCTGGGGTCACAGGGAATGTCTGGGAGATTCGCATGCTGAGATGCTGGGGGGTAACAGCTGTACACCTCTGGCAGTAGGTGTGTGCCCCACCATGGAACTGGCAGGCAGCCCCCTCCAAACTCAGTTATATTTAT